CCCCCCCCCAAAAAAAAAAGAAAAACCAAACAAAAAAAGCAATAATTTTTTTTTTAAAAATTTGTACCCCAGGTCCAACCTATCTGATACACAAAAGAAATTAGTACCGACATCTGAATTAGTCCATTGAAAGTTCAAGTCCATTTAAGTTTTGGACAATAAATTATATGGGCCCAAATATTAAATACCCCAAACTACAACAATAGAAACCCAAACCAAAACCCAGCAATAGTACTAAAACCAAAACACATTAATTTTTCAGACCTCATATTATTCCCAATTTGAGATTAATATATATATAATATATATATATATTATATATAATATATAATATAATATATATATATATATATATATATATATATATTATATATATATATATATATAATATATATATATATATATTATTATATATATGTGTGTGTGTGTGTGTGTGAAAACTTGTGTCAACTTAAGTGGATAGGGAATAGTGTGTCCACCAAAGTTTTTAACCACTCATATTGGCCTAGGGATCCTTGTATTATATAAAAAGGTGTTTTATATTAATAAATGTGTGATTAGGAACTTTGTGGCATCCACTTAAGTTGATAGGAGTCTTGCTCTCTCTCTCTCTCTCTCTATATATATATATATATATAGAGAAAAATGAAGAACCTTGGTACCAAGTTTCTCTATTGAACTTGATAGTGAGGTGGCCAAATCTCACCCCTACATCACGCGTCGAAGAGAGGGCCACAATCACTATTTACCTACTCTAAAAAAGAGGCTTCATCTTCCGAGGTATGATGTAGAGGTGAAGTTTGGTCACTTCACTTCCAAGTTCAATGAAAGAACTTGGTACCAATGTTCTCCATATTTCTCATATATATTATATATATATATATATATATATATATATATATATATATATATATATATAATATACATACTTGAAAAAAGAAAAGGAAAGTTTTTGAGATCTGCCACTGATTGGATGCTCAACCAGTCAACCTAGATAAAATACAGCGCTGATAATACAAACCAAGGTTGTCTAGTCGTGAATCCACTTGAAAAAAGAAATTTGAAACATATCTAACCATTCGAAATTGGCAGATGCCAAGAAGAATGCTATTATTGATAGCAAGGCTGTTCACCAATTGTTGTAGTTGCTGAATGTAACTTTCTTATAGACTTGGAAAGATTTAATGTTTAGCATGCCCTTTTTGAAATTTTATAAAGAAAATATCTTCACTATGATCCATAACAGTGTTGAGAATGTCACGAAACTTTCACTGCAGGTGGAATCCCCTTTATAATTGTAGATTTCCTATCTAACTTGATTTCTTCAAACTTCCTCATGAACTCTTAGAAATTATGTGCTCTAGCAAGCCAATTATAGCATTTGTACCTCCTGCTAATAGAATATCGTTTCTCCTTAGCGTCCAGGACAGTAAAGGGCATGCAACATTGAGATAATCAACAAAAGCACAGGTCCCACATTATGAAGAAAAAACACCAGCAGAACATTAGCAGATCACGAAGACCTTTGATCATGAAACTCCTCACATCTTAGGACAACTGCATCAGGCATTTGTTCTTCAGTTTTTTTAATCATTCTTTCGCATGAAACAGCTTAATCTTATTGCGAAAGAAGAAGAAGACATGCTTATCAAAATAGTGTTACCTACTACCATGTAACAAGAATGCTAAAGGCCATACTAACATTGTTGTTGTGTAAGCATAGGACTAGCTAAATATTTCATCAAGTAGAATGAATGGACACACACAAAAAAAAATTAGTTGCACAATAAGAAGGCTCAGTTACCTGTTTCAGAGTTCTGAAGACAAGCAATCAAATCTGGCTGCTGACATTTCTGCAACGAACCATCACACAAGTCCAACTGAGATTTATTATCTATATGACTGTCCTCTCCATTAGGCCCCTTGCTTCCGTCCTTCCCAGCATCATCTTTCCTGTTCTCCTTGCTCTTAGAAGGGTCTTCTCCCTCTTTTGTTCCTCCATCCTTTTTGCTATTTTCTTTGTTTTCAGAGCTTTCTCCCCCTTTCGTTCCATCATCCTTTTTCATATTTTCTTTGTTTCCAGAAGAGCCTCCTCCCTCTTTGTTTCCATCATCCTTTTTCGTATTTTCTTTGTTTTCTGAAGATCCTTCTCCCTCTTTAGTTCCATCATCCTTTTTTGTATTCTCTTTGTTTTCTGAAGAGCCGTCTCCCTCTTTAGTTCCATCACCCTTTCTCATATTTTCTTTGCTTTCTGAAGAGCCCTCTCCCTCTTTCGTTCCATCATCCTTTTTCACATTCTCTTTGTTTTCCGAAGAGCCTTCTCCCGCTTTAGTTCCGTCATCCTTTTTCATATTCTCTTTGTTTTCCGAAGAGCTTCCACCCTCTTTCATTCCATCGCCCTTTTTCTTATTCTCTTTGTTTTCCGACGTGCCCTCACCCTCTTTCATTCCGCCATCCTTTCCCCTAATTTCTTTGTTTCCAGAAGAGCCTTCTCCATCTTTAGCTCCACCATCATTTTGCGTATTCCCTGTACCATCACTTTTTTTCGGCCCATCATCTTTTCTAGCATTCTCTGTACTCTTTGAAGGATCATTGCTCTCTTTTACTTTATCATCATTTTTCTTCTCCTCATTCTTCGGAGCTTCTTTGCTTTCTTTCTGCCCATCGCCTCTTTCATCATTCTGAGGACCTTTACTCTCCTTCACCCCCTCATCCTTTCTACTCATATCAGGTTGGGATCCTACAGGATCCTGCTGAGGTTTCTGGTTCAATTCCTTACCTACTGTTTGAGGGCTTGTAGTAGAAGACGTTGAAACCTATAGATCCCCAAAAGCTTCAATTTTCAGAAATATATAATTAAAAAAATTAAACCCTAATTCAATTGCAAGTCGAGATCTTTTACCTTATCAGGATTCGGCTTCTCATCAGCCAGTAGACCTCGAGACGAAGCATCGGATCCTCCTATTAAGACCACCAGAATCAAGAATATCACCGATAAAACCCTGATTGTACCCATCTTCGAGAAATCAATTCAGCGCGTGATTTG